TTTAAGAACAATTCTACCCGCATCATCTGAAAATTGTATGTGAATCATCCTGGTAAATGACTTGAAATACAAAAAGTATCAATATGACTCTCTGACCTCTCTTCCATTTTTTAAATTTTTTTATATTTTTAACCTCGTCCTGTTCAGCATTATGGCCGCAGAACTAAAATCCGAACGCATGTACTTTGCCAAACGAGGCTTTATTGGTAAAAAGCCCCCCTTGATTATCCAACGCTTTATTTATTTATCTCTGTTGCTTTACATTTATCCAATGATGCCGAACCAGACAAAGGGACAGGGAGGAAAGAAGAACAAAGGAAAGCTAACCGGAAAAGGAGAAAGATCCTGTACGCAGAGAGAAAAATAGAAAAGGAAAGACAACAAACCATACAACAAGCTGCTACGTCTGTACAAAAGAAACAGTTTCTGGTGGGCAATTCGGATGGAGAAAACTATAGGAGCTCCTGCAGATGGACACCGGGCAGACAAAAGACCAAACAACCAACAAAAGCCAACGGGAGCAACAATACCGGTAGCAAAAACATCAGTGAGCTTCTAGGAATTGTGCAGAAACTGTACAGTAGCTTAAGGAGGCGTGTGTCTGGGCAACTGTGTGTGTGTGTGTGTGTGTGTGTGTGTGTGTGTGTGTGTGTGTGTGTGTGTGTGTGTGTGTGTTAGTGTAAATGAAGCCCAGGTTTCCCAGATCATACAATATGAACATGGATTTTCAATTCAATACAACTAACTGAATTGATTTTTTTACAGGACAAAATCCCCCAAAAATGACTTTTTGAATATTTTTCTACAAATCGGTCATTTGTAGTTTATTGGAAAATATTTCCATCTTTTAATTGATTTTTATTTCCCGATCTGGATGCTTGATGCTACTAGGTCTATTTATTTTAGTGCTGGTTACCAGCTAATACCTCTAAGTCAAGGCTCTTGTATGAAATCAAAAATCAAAATTGCTTAATGAATCAGAATCATAATGTGAGCCCTTATCACCTTCAATTTAATTTCTATTTTTTTCCCATCTGCTTTGTATAGTTTTAATATGTGATGGGATTTTATAGAAAGAAAAGGTTTCAAGGTTCATTTTTCAGCGCATTGCTGACCTCTGGTTTAGAAACAACCATTCAGTTTGGTCGTTTATGTTTAATTCATGCATCTTTTTGTTTGTGCGCCCATATTTCTTTTTTCTGCCTTGATGTAAACCACACAGTTGTTGAGCAGTATCTTCGAAAGTGGTTTCAGTAAAGGGAGACGAAGTTTTCCCAAAGACCAAAAACTTCCTTTGAATCTTTGAGGAAGTGCGTTTATTATCCCGCAGTCCAGGTTCTGAGCACGACTCTTTTAATCACACTAAACAGCCTTTTTTTTCTCCTTCAGAATGGATGAAGCACTATGAAATATTCATTCACTACATAACCAGAGATGGGATTCGTTTTTTTTACAGCGAATAACCTCACTGACGGAGTAGTGGGTCAATTCTGGCTACTTTTTTCTCAGCATATGTGAATTATTGACTCAAATCATATTCTGTCCAGTCAGTGATATTGAAAGACTTTAAGGTTTCATTGAGACTAAATCCACTGTAATAAACTGTTTCTCTCATTAAAACTTCATGGATTTTATACATTTCAAATTGGGCATAGCATTGGGTAAGTGAGGAGATAAATGTTTTTCCTCCTTGGAAACATACAAGATGGCTTTTTTTTTCTGGTCATGAATAATTTGAATTGCTCATTTTTAGATGGAGCACCAGATGGTTTAGAGCTCATTAGTGTCTTTGTGTTTACTTTAAGCAGTCGAGATGTCGGGGAAAAATGCTTTAACCTTTCCGAAGTGGAGTCTTGGCCTGCTTTTATCTTTTTACTCTTGTTTTGATACCGCGAAGTGTGTGTAATCCGAATGTGTACTCACGCCATTCGTCGGTTCGGTTTTTCGGCCGGAGTTAGTTTAGAACAAGCTTTTTTGAGGTGAGCAGGAGAACCAATAATGACAGGAATGCCCCGGAGCTGGGGGTGTTCTGTTCTCTCACCTGTACTTCCAGCACAGATGGTTACAGAGATTTGAACATCCCGAAACTCACCGATGAGGCCAGGAATCTAAAACGTTTTTTATAAGGTCACGATGAGTCTGGGATGAATTTTAAAAAGCGGAATGACATTTTTTTTTCTGCACTGTAATATGTCCAGATAACAAAAAATAGCCCAGTGATTATCTGTCTTCCTGGGGACTAATTTTCAGCGTTAGTGGTACCTATGGAGTTTAAACCCTTTTTTTTTCTTGATATAACAAGCACAGATGCATTCGTTTTAAGAAAAGAAGACTCTCGCATTAAATCAGTCATCAACGGTTCAACATTGTGAGAGAAAAAACGCCAATTTTGTGAAAAATTTGATCATTTTAATGCTACACAGCATTCAACGTAATGTCTACAGTTTGTGCAAGCCAATTTGAATCCTTCCTTTAATTAAACCAAGAGATAGACAGACAACACAGTTTAATTAGACTAGCTGAGTTTGTTTTTTCTTGAAAGTAGAATTAGGTATTCTACGCTGTTCATCTTCTTTGTATATAATGTACCTTGGATTATTTTTTTCATGTAGTTTCACCTGTTTGCTGTGTTTTGTAGAGGCAAAGCGTTGAAGTTTCTACCACATATTTGACATTAGCCCATGAAGCTGGATTTAATGCATCGTCACCATTAGTAACCCAAAATCAATTCCACAATGGTCACAAAAGAAAAACAGCCAATGAGCTTTTTGCCCCCCAGTCTCATTATACCTTCCTTGAATCCATTACTTTCTGCCCTCAGATCTTTTGTAGGGCGTGCATTTGCTCTCCCCTTTATACAATCACGCACGTGTTTTCGGGTTTCTGTGTTTGCGTACCTACATGCTTATTCCCACGGACAATATGCTGTGAGCATGATGGAATATCATCGAACGGAATGGAACGGGGCTCGGCGTGCGATTGCAAATGAAAAATTGAAGGTGCAGTCACATACACAATTGTCCTCTCCCCCCAAACATCCACCAAGATCATACACGTTCTCTTGAAAGACCTTAATCCCTTTTGTGAATCTGTCTGCTGTATTGTTACAAACATAATAGGATTATTTATATGTGTGTAAGTGTCTAAGAGTCTGCGTGTGCAGACAAAAAACGGAAAATGATTGGGGATGTATGATTGGCTTTGTTGCTTTTTGTGTTTTTTTGCATGCATATGGAGCGGCGTGTGTGTGTGTGTGTGTGCATGTGTGTAGGTGTGTGTAAGAGAGGGAGAAGAAGTCGGCACAGAAATGTTTCAACACAATTCCTGTTTTCGCTCTCATACAATTGATTCTCTATTTCTTTGCTATGTATTTGTGTGTGTGTGCGTGTGTGTGTGTGTGCGTGTGTTCCCTACACAGCCATGTGTGTCGGGGGCAAACTGTGATTGGTTGAGTCCGTGGCTCTCATAAAGGCGGTGTCATGATGGAAATTAATGCAATACATCACAAACACGCACGCTCGCAGACACACACTGTTATACACTAACAGCGAAACGCGCACCAGACACACACCTCTGTTCCCGTGGCGGGACACTCCTGTAAATAATACTGAAAGCAAGAGAGGCGGACAGGGGAATAAAGCAAGAAAAAGCTGGTGAAATGGAGGGTTACATTTTCAGGGATCTCACACACAACATTTTAAACAGAATTATGGCGACATGGGGACACTTTTATGTGGAATCTAAGAGGAATCTGTACAACTCTGTGGTCACAATGACCAGAGGAAAAAGGGAAGTTGTGAATGTTGCAAACTCAGGGGAATGGGAAAGTGATAATTACAAACTTAGTTTCGACAATGTGATCCAAGATGTGAGAACGTTCAGAATTTTGCCTGACTCAGCAAACAATATACTATTTAGTTTCAGTTCAAACTGGATTGTAAGATCCTGTAATAAGAGTTTGTGTTTCCCAACTTAGGCAGGGGCTCGCAGCGGATTTTAAACTGATAGCACTTTGTGATGACATTCGCACAGGTTGTTCAGACGAGACTCCAGAAAAAAATAAAAACACAGTGCTGAATGTCAAACACAACTCATTATTTTACAGTTCAGCCAAAGCCAACATAGAAAAACACCAATATAAGTACGAAGCCCAAAACATGGAGGTAATTGACTAATTTAAACAATTAACATGTCTCCCTCTTTACAAAAGTCAACAAAAACTATGCAAAATCATTTTCCCTGATGGTTTAAGATAAGAGTGATCGGAGGGAAAAAATGACCCATCTTCAAATTTTAGGTTATTTGGGAAATATGAACATTTTAAGCAATTTTAAAAAGAAATAGATATGTGACCAAACAAAATAATAATAAATGTACACGTTTTTGCAACTCGAGTTGATTTTGGTTTGTTTTATCATATAAAGATATAAGATTTGCAGCTTGTTCCAAATGTCTAAAGGGGAATTAGGTGGGAACAAGCTCCTGGATAGTTCTACCTGAAAGACCCGAGGCCATCAATGAATAATTTTTTATTATTGCATTTTACTCGGCAAGCCCTAATTAACTCCTGATTTAATCATGTAATATTTTCTTTGACACAGTTGTTGTATCAAAACCAGATGCAGCTTATGTTTAGCTGCAAATAGTGTTTATTTATTTGTTTGTTTGTTTATTATTCAAATATGTCCGCTCAATATTCATCTAATTTTCACAACAATCTGCGCCCTCCTTCAGGTTCTCGCAAAAGTCTGACATTAGGTATTTCCCTTAACCTGGAAGCATCTTAACGGTTTAGTGACTGTGAAAGTACTTCATAACATAAAGTATTCTTTCTGAAGCTTGTTTTTTTTCTCATCTAAAAAAGACCCAGCCATTCCACTGTGTTTTTTTCTTGGCACCTTTTCCCGCAAATCTTTCATCTACGCTCTTTTAAAGTGCTATATATCTTTGCACAGTGTCTGAAACATTGAGGGGAAACTAAATATGTTTTTTTCCTGTAGTTTGGGTTTCATGTCAACAAGGCTCTTTTTATCCTGCTCCCTCAGTCCCATGCAGACTTTTTTAATGTCCTCTCGTGAATCTGTGTCATTCCAGAAATAGACAAAGAGAGTTGCGGGGACCCTGGAACTCCTCTCTATGGAATTAGAGAGGGGGACAGCTTTTCGAATGGGGGAATCCTGAGGTTTGAGTGCCAGTTTGGCTTCGAGCTGATTGGTGAAAAAACCATATCTTGCCAGGACAACAATCAGTGGTCTGCAAACATCCCTATATGCATATGTAAGTATGAAGATTTAAAAAGTGCATATCAGAATTATGGCTGAATTTAAGAAATCTGACATGGACGCTGCTGATATCTTTCACGCTGACCTGTCACCATGGTGATGGTATTGGGTTTATTATAACCTGGGGCAGGGGATGACCGATGATGCTGTGAAGATGAATATTTAACAGAAAAATGTCTCTTTCTATGCTTTCCCAGTCCCCTGCATGTCCAACTTCACAGCCCCCTCGGGAACCGTCCTCTCTCCGGATTACCCAGAAGGCTACGGGAACAACATGAATTGCGTCTGGCTCATCCAATCGGACCCGGGCTCAAGAATACACTTGGCGTTTAACGACTTTGACCTGGAGGCGCCGTACGATTCGCTGACGGTGAAAGACGGCGAGACGAACGACGCCGTGGTTATCGGGAGGTTCTCCGGAGCCGAGAGTCCCTCCCATCTGACGTCCAACACCAACACACTGAGGCTGGAGTTTCAGGCTGATCACTCTATGTCCGGAAGAGGATTTAACATCACATACAGCAGTATGTATCATAATTAATTTAGTTATAAATCACAGTTTCTTTCATTAAGACGCTACCACCATCATTTTCTTTCCATGAAATGGTTCAATGTTGATCAGCTAATTATGATGAAAAATAAGTTTCTCACACAACCATATACTGAAAACAGAAAGAAAGAATATGTTAATTGCAATTTTCCTTTCTAACGATTGCTCTTTTGTGTCTACAATAAACTATCTTAAAGTACAACACCAACTTTTCTAAGCCAAATATAGGACACTTTCACAGAATAATTACCATGATGCTGTGGCCTAAACTTTTTCCTGTCATGATAAAAACAGAACAGTCCCAAAATGTCTGGCAAATAGTGCCTTTAAGCTTCTTAACTCTCATTCCAGCTATCTCCAAAAGCAGTTACAGTTTTCTCCAACATTAGATGCTTCTTTTGATTTATCAAGTGTTAAATCGTGCAGGAAGCCTCGACACAGCAAAGAGAAGCTTCATGCTAAAAACAAAAAAGGAAACTCAAGTTGGATTGTGGGTTTATGATAATCACTGACAATAGAAAAGTAATTCACAGAAGAAACAAGAGGAGAGAAAGCTGGAAAGGAACTTTTTTGTTTTGTTTCTGATATCACAACTAGCGGCACGATAAGATATGGTTTCATTTCTTTGCTCAGGATGTGTGCGGACTTGCTTAGCACAAACACTCAAAGCTAAAGGAAACCCAGATCGGTCATAAATGAAACAATGCCATACCAGAAAATAAATCCTTTGTTTCAAGCATTAAGTTTTACCCATTTCAAAAAAAGAAACTAGGACATAAGGATCTTACGAGCAGTTGGCATTTTAGAAGCATCATCTTCAGAATATAGTTTTTAGATTCATCCACTGATCAACTTTCAGGTGACGCTCACATAGGCAGGTGATTTTTTTTTTTACTACGAGATGCGACATGCAGTTTATGAGAAACATCTGTCAACATTTGTAAGTCCGTGCTCGCAGTCTTTGAGCAAACAGATGAAGTCCTCAGCTCAGTGTTGATCTATTCTTGACAAAAGAAATGGAAATCCACATTAATGTCTCACCTGCCTCGTGATGCCAGAAAAAGGCAGAAAAAAAGAACACACGCAGTGTTTTAATCCCTTCGCCATCTGCTTACACTCTTCAGGATATTTTAAGGTTGTAAATCCCGGGATTTTAATTAGAACATATCCAAAGACTTCCAATAGTATCCCAGGTTACAAATTAAAACGCAGTGACAGAAAATTGTTAAAGCTTCCATGATGTGTTTGTTTCTTTGAACAAGGTAAGTAAGTTCAAGTTGAACTGAAAGGAGGGAAACCATAATTAAAGTTTTTCAAAGCCAGGGATTCCCTTTGGGAATTGCTTAGCTCTGCGGCAATTCAACTTTGTGAATAGAATTCCTCAAATTGCACACCAAAAAGTCAAACAATCAAACAGTTCCCCAAATAAAACGAGAAACAAAGATTTTTGTATCACACAGTTCTTTGTGCGGCATGGGACATGATCACATCTGTAAAGACAAATAAAAACAGAGCAGGACAATCAAGCAAAGTCAGTAAAAAGGAAATGTCTTGTGCTGAACATTCAGTGATGTCAGTTATATATCTTTGAGATTGGATTGTTCAAATTTCATCAAAATGATGGGCAACCGGTACTGTGTAAACACCTGTGAAGTATAGGTTTAATTTTCTCAAACAACATTTATTGTATGTGTGTTTTGTCTTTTTTTTTTTAGAATGTTGCGTTTCCAATATCTTTCTTGTCATTTCTCTCTCTCCTTGTGATTTTTTATGAAACAGCCTTTGGCCATAACGAATGCCCAGACCCCGGTATTCCCATCAATGCCCGGCGCTTTGGAGACAGCTTCCAGCTTGGCAGCTCCATTTCTGTGGTGTGTGAGGATGGTTTTATCAAAACTCAAGGAACTGAGACCATCTCCTGTCAGTTACAAAAAGGAAAAGTCATGTGGAGTGGGCCCATTCCAAAATGTGAAGGTAAATATTCACCGCAAGAGAATTTAGATAATTGATCATTAACACGGTTTGAAGATCCAAGTGTAAAAAAACAGAAGAGAAAAACTATCATCTATTAGTAACACACCGATTGAAATAACCATTCAAAACAGGGCTGCTACACACACTGCTGCTGTATTGTTGTCATACAAAGACACTCAAACTTAAGCCGCATTTCAGAATATGCAATTGCTTCATAACAAATGGGAGGAAGACAATACACCTTTTCTTAAACCCCTTTTACATGTAATTCAGTCTAATCCAAAAGCATTCATTTTCAAGAATTTAAACCTCAATCTCACAAAGAGCTTATTCAAAAGAATAGAAAAATAGACCTGGAAATTTGACTGGTGAATTCGATTGAAAATATTAGCTCTACTATGCAAGCTCAATCCCACCATGATAGAATATATAATTATTTCCAGGTGTTTCAACCACTACTATTGTTGATAGAAGAGCTGATAGCACGAGGTGAGGCCATGTTAATTAAGCTAAAGGTCATTTTAAAGTCCCTAGATTCTTTATGTATAATGTGTGTCTAAAACTACCTCAGGGGAAATCCACTTACTGATATTTAGAATGTACAAACCTGGAAGAAATGGAAGGACTTGGAAGAAATACAAAACCATATCAATGAGATATGTGAAATACTAAATTCTTATTGTGTACCTGTTACACAAAGTCCTTGTGTGTTTCGAGCTGGGGGTACAATTTTAAGGCTTGTTTATTCTGTTAGCAAAAATCGAATTCATCACGAACACAGTAGAGCATTACATCATCATAAAAACTGTCCGATGGGACATTGAAACAGAGTCTGGAGCTTTATTGCAAAACTGACCATTCTGCAATAAAGAAAAACTCAATGTTAGTGTTCATTTCGGACCATGTCTTGTTGACAAGTCAGTAGTAAACAGAAGTCTGCAAATTTGTGAGCGAACCTTTGAAAACCGGCCAAAATCTTTGGATAAAATCATGTGAAATTAACGCATCATCTTCTGTGCGTACACAGCACACCATCTTTAAAGAAGATTGAATAAAATATGTGATTAAGTTACCTGTGTGTCAGTTGCTGGTAAAGTTGTTTCACCAACTTAAGCTGTTTGTAAATCCTTCAAGATATGTGTGGCACCCCCTCATACATTTCGCATTGCCTCCGACTTCACTAAAATGGATTTTCAGATTATATTATCTCTTCCTTCTCCCTTTCCCCTACCACCTCCAGCTCCGTGTGGAGGCCACTATTCCGCTCCGAATGGAGTGATCTTGTCTCCGGGTTGGCCGGGGTACTATAAAGATTCCCTCAGCTGTGAGTGGGTAATTGAGGCGGAGCCTGGACGTTCCATCAAAATAACATTTGACAGGTGATCAATGCAATTTTGTAAAAGATTTCTAGCTTTTCCAATCAATTTTGAGACAAGAACTGAAACATCCACGATCTACATTGCAGTCATGACTAAGACCGTCTTACTCTTTCTCTTTTTTTCCACAGGTTTCAGACAGAGTTGGGGTATGACTTCCTGGAGATCCACGATGGGCCAAACCTCCTGTCTCCCCTGGTCGGTTCCTTTAATGGCACCCAGGTGCCTCAGTTCCTATTCAGCAGCAGCAACTTTCTCTATCTGCTGTTCACGACCGATAACAGCAGGTCCAATGCCGGCTTCAAAATACTATATGAAAGTAAGTTGGAAAGAAATACGATATTCATGCCATGGCTCACGAAGACATAGTTTTCCTCTGTGGCAGTCCTTCTATTAAGATTGGAAACATATATGTGAAATCACGATATGAAAAATTAAAATTGAGTTTCGGAGACTCTCAGCTCTCACTATGTCACTGATTATACTCATGGTACGGGAATATGATGACATCAGGTTAATAGCACACAAACTCTTTTGCGAACAGTCAAATTTGAGCTGTGCTTTTGTTTTCCTTTAGGTGTTACAGTAGACAGCTACTCATGCCTGGACCCTGGCATTCCCGTAAATGGAATTCGATATGGACAAGACTTTTCAATCGGGTCCACAGTGTCATTCGGCTGTGACTCTGGCTACAGACTCAGCCACGAAGAGCCTCTGGTGTGTGAGAAGAACCACTGGTGGAGCCATCCTTTACCTACATGTGATGGTAAGCTCTCAAATATATATAGTTGGAACTGTGACTTTGCTTTAAATTGATAAGAAAAGAAAGTTTTTCATCAGCAAACAATACAAAAAAAGATCTCAATTTAAACCTTAATGACTACTTTTGTAGTTGACCTGATCCGGTATTCTGCTGTAACAGTAGCTAACTCAAGGAAAAGTATTTTTGGAGAACTCTTTCAAACACATGACATGATTACTTAAAGGGCCAGCGCACGTTATATGTTCCAATTCCTCACATCAGCATCACTGGAAAAACAAAGTGTCTTTCAGTTATTGAGCGTGAAAGGACATTCCGCAATCATTTTAGAACTGTGCAGTATCTGCCAGGAGAAAACTGTTTTGTTTTTTTACCAGGAAACATGTCTGGCCCACTAATGCAGTCTTGCACAGAGCTGTGACAAGCCGATGCTCACACTTTCCCTCATGCTCACAAGCCCTAACCCAGGAGACTTTTGGAGCGCGGACAGTGACTGACGCTCTTCTCAAGGATAGTCCCTCGGTTACGCTTCTTTTCGGTTGCACATGAACCAAATGAGTCATCGTTTAACTGTCCAACTGTTGAGCTCAAGCACAAATCCCAACCATGTTTCTCCTCATCTTGAATGGGATGGTGACGATTTAACAAAAAAACAATGAGGATCTTTCAGTTAAACCAAATGGTTTTAAGGAGGTGGTGCAAACAAGAAAACCAACTTTTTTAGGACTAAATCAGATCAGGGCTCAACTCCACGCAATCAATGTGTAATTCTGTTACAAAAATGCAAAAATTAAAGCACACAGACGCTCCCACAGCTAAACAAACACAAACGTTTTATATTTTTTCAGGTGATTAACCATTGGCGTAATGAATTCAGTGTCCTACACTAACCCTTTCTATCAAAGTTGAATACCTAACCTGAACCCAAGCCACAAATCCAACTATATAAATGCATAAAGAAGCCCTGAAACCAACCTTTGACGTTCTTATTGGGTCCACTGTTTGGTCTACAAAAGACTCATTTGACCTCAAGAGGCACCTTTTTGTGGACCATGTGAATTTTTAAATTCACATACAGGAAAAAGGGTTGCTGTGAATGCTCTGCTGGCTGTGATACACCGAGTTCAAGAGAAGATTTGAGACCTGCAAGCAGAGACTACGTGTGTGTGTGTGTGTGTGTGTGCATGTGCACTCTGTACATACATGGGTCCTTGTGGTGCCTTAATCCATGTGCCTCCTGTCACCTCCTCTTGTGTCTGAACCATGAACACAGAAAGGTTTGAGGTAAGGTTGAAGAGAGCCTGTGTTGGCTGTCACCTCCTCTCTCTTCTCTCTCAAATCAGAGCTCAGGGCACCAGGCGAGGGGAGGGGGAGGAAAGAAAAACGTCTCTCTCTCCAGCTCGCCGTCTCCCTCTTATCGAGGGGATGTAGGGAAAAAAAAAAGACTGATGTGCCACTGCGGCACAGTTTTGAGGCGGTTTCCGAAGTTTGATCGATTTATTCGCTTTCGAAGCACATTTGAACCACGAGTGGAAGTAGTTTGGAGCACATAAACATCTGGAGGTTATAAGCATCAAGCCGCCTGCCAAGAATTTACATCCCATGTGCCGTTCGACTCTGTTTACTTGTCATGTACTGTAGCCTTTCAAGTACATGTTCTGTTTTCAAGTGTGGCTGGTAAGAACTAAAAAACTCTCATCATTAACAAGTAGTACACTGAGAATTCAAGCCAGATATTTCCAAAATACAACTCTGACATAAAATTTTTTGTCTGGAGGCAAATTCGATGGAACTTTGACATCTGACAAAATGACTAGACTATCACACCAGCCAAACAGGATATTCAAAATATATTGAATGTTCAACTAAAAATTTTTAATGCAACATTTGTTGAAAACGTGTCAGTAATTAGTATATTACATATATTGTAAAATATGAGGTCATTCTCAGTTACACAGATGAACATATTTCAATTCGGCACGTTTCATGAACTCCACTGAGATATACAAAAGAGAAATTAGATAGATAGAGTTAGGGGAGAAGGGCAAATGGAAGGAGATCAAAAATGCTGATAAAGAGTGAGATAGGCAAAGATAAACTGGCAAAGACGGAGATAGCGATGCATTGTTTCTGGTTTCTCAGACAATTTAACATTCAATCTAAAGTGCTTCCTGGCAGTGAAGAATTAATTATTAATAGTGCTGTGTGTGTGTGTGTGTCTGTGTGTGTGTTCATGCTAGCTGTGTATACGTTTACTTTGGAAATCTATTCACTCCGCACTTCTCAATCTGCAACCTCAGCAGTAGTCGAATGTGAAGATACTGTTGCCCCGGTTTGTGCTTTAAACGCATCTTCATTGTTGCACCGGTCATAAAGTAGTGACATTCAGCCAACTAAATGAAAATAAATCAACTTATTTCCCTTGAATTGGTCTGTGTATATAGATTTATATTGGTTATAGTTGCCAGATTTGACAATTTCCTGCCACTATGAACAGAAACTTTCAAAAGTCTGATGTCCTTCCTACAAGCCTTCCACATATGCACTGGTGGTTTTTTTTTATTTTTAAGGATAATTTCACAAGTCATCAACCACATTTCCATGCTTTTTTGACATGTTATCTGTGTAAGCACAGCTGTCGTCAACATATAGTCTCTGTGAAAACTTTTTGAGCATTACAGCTTTGAATTGAACTATTTGGAAGCAACCAACTCAAACCATTCCTAAGCGTGGAAATGGATACTCCTGCCATGTTTTTTCAAAAACTCAAAATGAGAGTGCAAATGGTGTATGTCTTACAGCTACAGAGAAACAACAACGAGAATAGGTTTCAAACTCGGGCAAATAAAAAAAACAAAAAAGCGATGCATTATCCAGATGGTCACTTGTTATATAAGAAGGAGCTTTACATTTTAGGAGGTAACACCAGACATTCGTTTTTCACACTTCCCTTTGCAGAATTTGACAGGTCTGCTGCATATATGAGAATGGTCTTACCTTATTTAATATTTTTCTTACAATGTTTTGATTTCAACCTGAATATTTGTTTAGCAGTGTGTTACTGTGATTAAAGCTAAATTGATTTCGTAATAGGGATCTACAGTTTTTATGTTAAGAAAAAAGTTTAAGGACTACATAATAGGATTTTCATGTTGATTTACTTTTAAAGGTCCATCATTTAAAAAGAAAAACTTGAGTCTGTTTTTGGTCACCTAGCCAAGTTGAATTTTATATGTAGCTCACGTTTTATTTCAGACCAGTTAGCTTCAACAACAGCTTATGGGGAGTTTAGCAGAGATGGTAAATGTAGAGCTCTGAACAGTGGAGAGAGAGGCTGTCACTTTTCTCTTTTCTTCCCTTTTGACTGGCTGTGTTGCCATACCATGACATTTTAAGACTCATAATTTTGCACTTACATTTTTACAGCTCTTAAAAGATGTTTCTCTCCTTCCCTCTGTTTCTCTCAGCCTATGTGCGTAGGTATGCATGTGAGTACGGACCATACGAGTGCTATTAAAGGTCCACCGGGAAGCATTATCTGCTTTCGCTATTAACAAGCTGATGCTAACCTTCTTTCTGCCCCTGTCTCCGCTTATGCTTGGTTACCTCTCCCCCCCCCCCTCTCCCCCCGCTCTGTCTCTCTTAATCTATCCAGCTCTGTGTGGCGGAGATGTTAGAGGTCCCTGGGGAACCATCCTCAGTCCGGGCTATCCAGACAGCTACCCTTCATCTCTCAACTGTACCTGGACCGTTGAAGTCAGCCACGGGAAAGGCAGGCGACACACAGAGACCCACACTGCTTAATAAACACAGACAGGTTGAGAGACAGCGCCATGTGACACAAAAAAGCACAGGGGTTCACTTTCCATCTGTACTACAACCACAGATTTGCAGTACATGGAGGTCTATTTTTAAAAATTCAGAAGTTCGGGCTCCACTTTGGAGCAACTTGTTCGAATTTATTTAGTAAAATATACAGTATAATGCATACAACGAATGAAACTTTAACTTCTCATGACGATTTATGGCTGTTAAGTTGAAAAAAAATGGCTGTTACATGTTGCAGGTTGAGTCACATGAGCTAAATATACATCCTTGCCATTCTGCGTTTGTCTCAAACAGGAGTTCAGTTTCAGTTCAACTCCTTTCATCTGGAGGACCAACATGACTACCTCTTGGTTACGGAGAACGGGAGTTTCCAGCAACCACTGGCTCGCCTGACCGGCAACGAGTTGCCTAGCAACATTAATGCCGGTCTCTATGGAAACTTCAAAGCCCAGCTACGATTCATCTCCGACTTTTCTATTTCATATGAGGGCTTCAACATAACTTTCTCTGGTATTTTCTTCACCTTTTGTGACTTTCTAAAAGTGATGCAATATCTACAAGTGCTAAACTTTAAGAAAGTCTGGTTAACACTGAGTTTTGTCATAAAAGAAGAAATTTTTTTCTCATAATTTGAATTCTGAAAAATAGAGTAATGCTTTTCTTGAGGGCATTTTAGGATATCAAAGGCAGCATTGATACATTGTATATGTAATGTATATTGAATTTGGAAAGACTTAATGTTGACTGCACCAGGGATCAAACATGTTTAAGAGTTTTAAGTGAGATTGATATGAGAAATAAGAGTACAGCACATTTTTATTAGAGCAGACAATATCTGTATCTCTAAAAAGTGCTTTACACACCTTTTTTTCTTTTTACCAGGAAGTAAATTTGGATGTTGAAATTTTGACCACATCTCAGCATCTATCAAGTCACAACCATAAATAGTCAGAATTCTCTTTATGTCACACTATGAATTCAAGTACATATAACAAAGACCTCAGATTATCTTAGATAGTGACCCCTTGGTGATTTAAGACTTAAGGAGGTCACTAATGCATGTGGGTCAGATGGATCTTGTGTTGAATTAACAAAGAAACTGTTATTAAGGGTGTAACACAAGCATGAGGTGACTGTACAGTAACCAGATTGATTTGTTTTACAATACGATTTGAATTCCCCATGTATTGTTTAGCTGCCTTTAATGAGGGGAAGGTTTTAGGGGCAGAGTTAAGAGAAGGAAGTTCATGGCTACATCTGCCCCTCGTAAAAAAGGATTGTCTGGCTAATTACCCTTTCAGTGCCCTTACATTGACTCCGGCGTTAAGGAGCACTTGACTCTGGGTCTTCATTCTGGGATGTGTCATTGCCTCTGATGGCATAAGGAGATACTACATATTTAACACGGGGGAGATGTCAGAAGAAATTTGAGTTACTGGTCCCATAGTGCTTTAATATCCTGCAGCACATTTGAAAATACACATCACACCATTTGTGTTGGTCCACTGAGAAAAAAACCTTTACTGAAACACTGTTTGCACAAATGCTAACACCTACAAAAAGGTTGTCAAATAAAGCATTTTAAGTTATTTGATCTCTTATTAGTTGAATTTGATTTGAAAAAAGTACTTGAATTGTATCTAAATAATGGCAAATGGCAACAAAAAGGCACTATCAAACTTGAACTACCTTTATTTACCAATAGGAAGTGATCGTGTCCAATTGGTAAAAGTGTTTAAAGTTTATTATTGTATTGATAATATTGAACAGCATACATTATTAAATCTTTATTGCCTGCAGAATATACTTTGGAACCATGTGAGGACCCTGGAATGCCTCGGTTTGGCAGAAGAAACGGTTACAGTTTTGGAGTTGGAGACACTCTGACCTTTTCCTGCAATATGGGATACCGCCTGGAGGGGGCCCCGGAATTGATCTGCCTCGGGGGTGGGAGGCGAATGTGGAGCGCGCCTTTACCCAGATGCGTTGGTAAGAAATAGTCTGTTAAATGTTGTTTTGACACAGCCACATGTCTGCAGGTATATGGAATTCACTCTGGGTGTAAAAGAAGCCCCCAAATAGGATTAACTATAATACTAAAATGTATTACAGCAAAACAAAACCAAGTCTATCAGAACTAGAGAGGCTGTTTTCAAAGTTAATGCCTGTTCCCTGTGCAAATTGCCTTCAGATCTCTGTCATTGCCTTTATTACATATAAAAGGGGTCCTTTTGAATGTAAAAAGAAAGAATAGGACAACTGATTTATCCATGTTTGGAACATGGCTGCCATACCTAGCCTTTTAAGTCAGATCTTCTTGCATCATCATTATAAAATCCCTGTTGAGTATGAGGGGATCTTTGAAGTCACAAATAATAAAACTAGCGCGGACTCCCAAATGACACCATTCCTTTTCAATTGTGAATGAAGTGTGATTAGAACAGGCAACAAGCAGATTTCTTCACAGTCAGATTAATAAGAAAGGGTTATTTATTGAATCATTCACAGAATGTGATGCAAATCAGAACGTAGAATACCACTGGTGTAAATATGTCACACTAAATACATTTACTTTTTTTTTTTTTTTTGGTTTTTGGGGTTCTGAGAAACCATTTATTAATGTTAATCTTTTCAGTTAAGGGCTGTATTTTTTGTACCACTGCTTGTATGAGGAGCTGTTGTCCTTGACCATGGTGCTTTCCAATTGCTTCCTGTCCACTAGAGAATTACCATCCCCTACCCTCTTACTAGATGGGATATGTCTAATGCAATGCTTGTAAGCTCAGAGAAAGCAAAGTGCGACATGATTTAAAAGCATATCTTGTTTTTACACAGTAAAAGTGCGCAGAAAAACTACCGCAATGCAAACTACACGCTAACCCGGATGAAATGTTACTCGCCGGTTTTATTTTCAGCTTTGTGTGATCTTTGCAGTGGCGGCGTGCACATCTCTGCCTCTTTGTCATCAACGTGACAAGACTGATAATGCAAAGAGGTGGGAGTGGTGTTAGGTGCTGGTTTTTTCTGTGGTTCAGTGCAGTTTTTCTATATTTAGTTCCCGTGTGTTGTATTGCATTGCTGCGTGATGTGGTATTCATAACCGTGGAGGAGGTGAAGAGAAGAAAGCAAATAGGAAAGCGCCTGCCATTTTTTGGAATACTTTAGTGGCTGTATTTTTTGGGGTTTGATTGTTTGGAGACCTTTCCATCTTAAAAAAAGCTTTCATAAAACGTCACTTTGAAATTACAAAAGCCCAACGTCCACGATGATCTCTTCCTCACATGACTCTGCTCCGGAATTGTCTAGCTTGCAGTCCTGGCGTTTTCTTCCCCAGCTATTCTACATAACAATGAAACACATTACCACAGTGATTATTTCATGGCTGGTTTGGGCTGCCCTAAAACGCAGTATTTGCAACTCACCCCTTTTTGACAATCAAAGCAGACTGAGCCTTTTGGGATGAAAAATAATAATAATAATGTGGTTAGTGAACATTAAAGTGCATTAGCCAGTTCTAATAGTTTCCTCCTCAAATGAAACGACAGTCCTGTAGATCAAGAAATGTTTTTTAAGTCCTTTTTTTCCCAGTATCTTCAAATATTGCATTGATCACTTGTGTTTCTGCTTATCCATGGGTCTAATTTTCCCAAAGTACTGTTCAGAAAGGACTTGGAAAGGGACCAAACAGGTTTCTTTCTTTAAAGAAAAAAAAGGTTGGTTTCTTCTTTTGGAAGTTTGACGACATTTTCTTGAATGTTGGAAAAGAAACAGAATCAGGAGGAGAAAATGATAGTTAATTTTCTAAAAATGACGAATGGCAAAAAAAGAATAAGACGGTGAATAGAGGAGGAAAGAATGAAAAGCACTAAAGGAAGGCTGATTGAAGTAGAGGGCAGCAAAGGAAGTACTATTCATATAAAGTGGGATAGAGAGAGGGGACAAGAGTAGAGGAATTGAAGAGGAAAGAAGTGGAGGGTGGCGAGGTAATTTTCTAAATGGAGGCTATCGCGGGGTGATTTATTGATGATATGACAGCTGTAATATGACAATTACACAAGTGTAGACACAGTGCAGGTGGAGAGTGGGTGGGAGAGAAAAAGAGCGCATAGCTACATGGATTCTGTAGATAGAGGGCAAGTGGGAGAAAGTGAATATCTTTAGGTGAATTGTTCTCTGAATTTGAACTCTCTTGGTAGAAGCAGAAGTCACAGAAGGATTCTTTCTTTTATTTGAAAAAATAGCTCTTTCTTATAAGTTCTGAAAATTCTCACCACTCCAAGGACAACCAGTGTTCTCTTTAACTGTAGTTTCAACTCGCAAACACTGTTATAAAGAAGGTCCAATACGTTTTTAAAAATCAACAAAACTCACATTTAATTTATAAAATAAAAGGATTAGTTATCGACAAAAGATTTTCCATCTCGGGCTGACCTCATTCATTTGAAACTGTTATGATCCTCTTTTCTTGTCTTTGATTTCAGCCGAGTGTGGTTCGTCAGTTATAAACAATGAAGGGATACTGCTGTCTCCAAACTACCCGATGAACTACGATAACAACCACGAGTGCATCTACAGCATTCAGGTAAACTGTAAATAGGTTATATTAATTAAAATCAAAGCATATTATACTTGGTAATTATTTAAGAAAGAACATATATTCCTGTTGGTCGAATCACAACGTTGTCTGTGAGACTTATCAGTCACTTTCAAACATTTCCAAGTGCGTGTTGCATCTGATGCTAATCAACTGAACCTAATCTAGATTCCGCTTTATATCCAGGTGCAAGCTGGGAAAGGCATCAACATTTCTGCCAGGACTTTTCATCTCGCTCAGGGAGATATTCTCAAGGTAAGCATTTTTCCCTCTCAGTCACGTCTTATTTCTGTGTGTGGCAGTGACCGGTGCTTAAAAACACTTAAAAATGCAAATGTTGCTCCTAATGTGTGCGCTGCGATGAGTGCTTTTGGCTGTTGTTATTACAGATTTATGACGGCAAAGACAACACGGCCCAGGTTCTGGGAGCTTTCACTGGTTCGTCCATGTTGGGCCTGACGCTGATTTCCACGTCAAACCATCTGTGGCTGGAATTTTACACCGATGCAGAAAGTACTGGGGAAGGTTTCAAACTAGTTTACTCAAGTGAGTGTAAGATTCTAAATGTTACACACTCTAATCTTGTAAGGTTACATGTCTCCAGCTATAATGTACAAATAAAATACTGTGAAATGCTGTGGGTTATTATTAGTTTGTTTATCAGATCCTATAATGTATTGGCACAGAATTTTCTTTTTCACATACACTGAACAGTGTGGCATTCTTAACATAGCTTTCTATATAACTCTTTGCTTTTAGGAGCTAATATGAAGTAATATGAAACTGGTTTGGGCAATCTTCAAAGCTAATGATGTCAGTCGTATCAATTCCACAATTAAACATCATGGAACAAGTCAGATAATTCCAGTTAAATCAAGCACATGCTGAATTGTTTTTATCTTCAAATGGTTTATTTCCTACAAGCTCTTAAGATTTTCCATTCCACCACTGCAATGATGATAATCATCATGTCTCAGTTTATTAATTAAGCTTTCAAAGATATTTGTATTCTGTTTTTTGGGCAAAACAGATAAGATGACATTGCAGTGTTAAAGTTTTCAAGTTTATCTTTTTAAAGGTGTCACACAGTGTGATTAGGTTGCCTTGATTTGCATAGAGATCTAAGATTGTCTTTTAGAAACACACCTTTCTTGTTCTTTTGCACGTGTTCCTTTGGCATATAAAACAAAGAACTATGGTGCCAAGAGCACCAGCAGCCATATATTTCTGTTTCTTGTTTAACGCCACTATGCTTTATAGTTACATTTGATACGGAGGTTAAAGAAAATATTACCGAATAACTCTTGATATGTACTTCAATGAATAATGTATGGTGTTTTCTTTTTCTTGCGTCTATGAAACACAATCATTTTAGATGGGCAATTATTCATGCTCGATGTCAGGACGATGACAGATGTGTTTATGTTGCTCAGTGGTGAATGTGCAGCCTCCAAATGGTCATTTTTAAAGATTTAGACATGCATCCACATCAGCCTGCCCTGAGATAACTCAAATGTTGGTGCACCGTGTGTTCCGGGTAATACCTTAGATCAAATCCTGCTTATGGTTTTGTAGGGATATTTATAAACCTGTTCATATCCAACGCTCTAAAACTGTGTGTTAACTGAATATGCTAAATATTACAATGGAAACTGAGCTCAGACAGACTGTGAAAATAAACATTAAATTGGATAAGGTGCATACAGGCTCCGGTATCACTCCTTATGACTTTATGTTTCATGTTACTTTTTTTGGTGTTCTTATTAAATTAGGATGAGAGCTCAAAATGGTCTGTTCATGAACAGAATGCTTTTGTGCGCTCGATGTTAAGGGAACGTTGCCGTGTATTTTCATAAACCCAATCTCTAAAGAGGGCACTTTAAAAATCAACACTGTCAGTATCTCTCAACGGCTTTTTTTCTCTCCCCTGCCAGGTTTTGAGTTGTCTCACTGTGAGGACCCCGGCGTGCCTCAGTTCGGCTTCAAAGTCAACGACCAGGGCCACTTCTCCGGAAGCAGCATCACATACAGATGTGAGCCGGGATACACTCTGCATGGCGCGTCCACCCTGAAGTGTATGACCGGTGAAAGGAGAGCCTGGGACAACCCTCTCCCTTCTTGTATAGGTATGTTTTCGCTTTGTGAAGCTCTCTACACAAAGGAGATGTGAATATTTACACAGAAAAATACACTTTATAATACCAAACAAAGACAAGAAAAAGAGTCAAGTGATACTTCTTGTTTTATGACTTTCTGGTTACCAGACACCTGACCGTTTTACCATTTACAAGAATATATATATATATACTGTATATATATATTACAGGGTTAGATTCCTTCCACAAGAGTTCAGACTGAAAAATAGTCAGCTTTTATTCCTCCATAGCACCTCTGACTTGAATGTATGCTTTTCCAGTCATCAATTCTTCTGTGGGCAATATTCAGATTTAGGTCACAACCCACAACACTGACCATAGAAAACCGAAAGGATTAAAAAAGAAAAGGAGCCCCCTGTGCATTCAAATGTGACCTAAGCAAGTTTCTGCATTGTGCTTTTAAATAAAAATATTTTTAGGTAAACATCCATTTTCCATATGACCTATAAATGAAAATAGATCAGTTGTATTAGAAGCGTTGCTTTTCATCTTGGACATCTTTTTTCCTTAAAGATACACACATGTGGTTACATTGTTTGCCACAGTCTCTGAGTGTGTAGTGGTGAAAAAACAAACTTCTTTTGAAGTGCTTACTTCGTTTTCTGAGGATATCACTCACTCCTGTGGTTTTGAATTCACAAAGAAAACAATAGTTACTCAGAATTACGCCACCTGGACTTCTTTTGTCTGCTGTATGCACTCCAGGACCTCGAATGGCTGATTTTCTCTCTGCAATAATCTATTCCAACATGCACCGACACACATTTGTTATTATCTTCTAATTCTGACACTAATAATCCATGTTAGTCTGAGCAACCAACCCTTTTATAAGAATTGACCCATACCCACATTTTAATTGATTTGAGTCTGGCTCCAGACTAATGTCTCAAACCGCTGGCCATTTTATGAAAACAGCTAAACACACTGGGAACCAAAGGCCCCTTTTGGGTATTGACACATTTCTAAATATTCACTTGGAACATCATTGCCTTTTTAATTCATTCTCAAAAGGAAATCATCCCTCCACAGTCCCAAATATCAATGTCAACAAATCAATAACGGTATTCCGAGGGGTTAGTAATTAATGTAAGCTTATAGAGGTACACACACTTAAAGACATACGGCACTTTCGTTGGCTAGTTGTTATGAAATACCTGCAATGGTATATCATTAGGACTTATTTAGGTTGTCATTCCATAACAGTTTCCATTGCATCTCAGCTCATCTTGTCCAAACGAATGAAAAATAGGTGAAACAAAGCTTTGCCACACACAGGCAACAATCTGAAGACCTTTCTTTTTCCCTTATGCCACTGAGCCTTCTGATTTTGAATTCAGCTTAATAAATCTCTCCTTCTCACTATCAATAATGAAAGGGTCATAAAAACTACTGCCTTCAAATTTTAGCAGTGACCCACCGTGACCTCATCTGACCACGAGTCTTAATATCATATATCTTCTTATTGTTATTACTCAGACCCTTTGGTTCTCTCTTTTTCCTCCATCTTTTCCTCTTCCTCTTTGTGCGTCCTATCTCAATCCCAACTTTTCATATGGCTCGTAATACCCAAAATAATATATTCCAAAGATGAGGGAGCCTAAAGGAAGGGGGGAGAAAAAGCTGAGCTGGAATGAAGATTGTGAAAATATATAACTCTGAGAGACAAAGTGAGAGAAGGGGAAACTATTTTAGTTATATTATGTGAGGTGATTTCTTTTTGGAGGAATGCAAGATCAGCAGTTTGTCTCCTCATCCTCTTTGGCTCTCCTCTGTGCTCGAGTATGTGTTCCTGTGGATGCTACAAAGACGGCGTGTTACAGTGGATGAGCATCAGCTTCTTTTTTTTAAATTCATTTGTCTCCGCGTTGGTCGTTTAATCACTGAGGTGCACCTACCAGATCTGATTGCCTTGATAAACAATTGGCACAGACAGATAACTGGTTGACTTGTCAAACTTCACACACACACACACACCGAAAGGCTCTTTCGCCATTTTGCAAATTTGTCTGCCTTAAATGATGAGTGTGTAATGTCCCCATTAGCGCCAATCTAACATATTATGCACAGATATTCTTCTAATCTCTTCATATTAAACCTTAATCAATGGGTTTGGTCTGCGCCTGTTCCACCTGCAGCGGAGTGTGGTGGTCGTTTTAAGGGCGAGTCCTCCGGGCGGATTCTCTCTCCTGGGTACCCCTTCCCTTATGACAACAACCTGCGTTGCACTTGGACCATTGAGGTGGATTCTGGGAATATTGTGAGGTAAAGCGGATCTTGCTCTATTCTCCTATTATTAAATCATTATACATATTATGTAAAAAATATAAATAAATAAAATAAATCTATATATATATATATATATATATATATTATTTTTTTTATTATTATTATTATGATATATATATTTATATATATATATTATTTTATTTTATTTTATTATTATTTATATATATATATTTTTTTTTTTAATTATTATTTATATATATATATAAGTGAAATGAAAATTGGAATTGCATTTGTTTACTCGCTCATGTCTCTCATGACATTCCACTCAATTTTTTGGTTTAAATTATATTCATATTCTTGACAACTTTTTCTCTCATTCTCTTACCAACACACAGCCTTCAGTTTTTGGCCTTTGACACAGAAGCCAGCCACGACATGCTGAGGGTTTGGGATGGCCCGCCTGAGAATGAAATGGCTTTAGCGGAGCTGAGCGGATCTCTGCTCCCTGAGGGAATCCACTCCACTCTGAACACGGTGACAGTCCAATTTGAGACCGACTTTTACATCAGCAAGTCAGGATTTGCCATCCAGTTCTCCAGTAAGTGACGTTTACCAAATAAAAAATTGATCAAACAACGAGCTGTTTGCTGAAGAGCGTTTGATACAATATACACCCATAATCTTTTTATATACGTTTGTATGATTACGAATATTTTCTAGAGTGTCATTTTTTTGTATTGTCTATTGTCAGTGTGGTAATTTTTTGCATTAACTTCCTTAAAACAACTGCTTCATGAAATGTTAGCTTTATGTTGGTGTAACATTTGTTTATGTTATTAAAGCAAGATAACCCAAATCAGGCTGGAAACACATTTTTTCTTTCTATTTTTTATTTCATCGGATGATTCCCAAAAGCTTTGTAAATAGTAATTGAACAAATTGCCATTGTTATGCACCTGGCATCAGTCCAATAAGCTGGAAATATCTAGCGCAACCCTTTGCTTTTCGTCAGCTCTTTTCACTCCACACACTCCCCCCCCCCCCTCTTTTTTTCCTCTCTGCCCAGGCTCAGTGGCTACAGCCTGCAGGGACCCCGGCGTACCCATGAATGGAAGCCGTAGCGGAGACGGCCGTGAACCGGGGGATTCGGTGTCCTTTCAGTGTGACCCGGGATACGAGCTCCAGGGGGATGACAAAATAACCTGCATACAAGTGGACAACAGATACTACTGGCAGCCCAGCCCACCTGTCTGCATAGGTGAAAACTCCTCCGTGGGGACATAAAAAATAAATAGACTGTGTACACAGAGCTGTTTAAAGTCAGGTCCCTAATTCAAGGACACATTGACCAGTTGCTTAAAGTAAGGCCCTGTAAAATAGATTATGTTTATTTTACACACATACATCCCCACTCTCCTGCTTTTTATCCTAAAAAACAAATGAAGAAAAATATAAATAACTTTATTGCTTTTAGTTTGGCTGAATTTAGAGAGATTTTAAGTCATTTAAGAGTATTAAAATGTATGTGCGCTGTGTTCTCATTGTAGCTCCTTGTGGAGGAAACCTGACAGGGTCCAATGGATTTATTCTCTCTCCAAACTACCCACACCCCTACCCCCACTCGAAGGACTGTGATTGGCTCATTGCTGTCAACTCTGACTATGTACTCTCACTGGCTTTCATCAGGTAATTTGCAACCCTTCTGAAATGTGCAAGTGTGTTTAGCTCTGTTCAGGGTTTTTTATTTTTCATTTCTACTGACTCTGACCACACGGAATAGTTTATATTGTGTCTGAATTGTGTTTTGCTACTTTACGTCTCTCTTCACTGTCACAGTTTTGGGGAAAAAGTTATAAAAACAGCTACTGAATTTTTTACGGTGACACTTTTTGTGCTCTATATGTGCTTCCCTACTCTTTTTGTTTTTCTCAGTTTCAACATAGAGCCAAACTACGACTTCCTGTACATCTACGATGGCCCGGACAGCAACAGTCCTCTCATTGGTAGCTTCCAAGACAGCAAACTCCCGGAGCGGATAGAGAGCAGTTCTAACACCATGCATTTAGCCTTCCGCAGTGACGGCTCTGTTTCTTATATCGGCTTTCATCTGGAGTACAAAGGTAAGAGATCTTGCTTATCGTACTCCTTTTTTATCAATAAGAATTCAAATGCAGATTGTATTCTGAAATCCGTCCTAAATCAGAATCAGAATCAGAATCAGAATCAGGTTTATTGCCAAGTAGGTTTTTAGACTTACAATGAATTTGCCTTGGTGTTTGGTGCACAACACAACACTTCTATGAGAAGCAAGAAATAAAATGTAGAAATAAAAATATAGGACAGAAATGATAAAACTGAAAAATACAATCTTTAAAAATATAGATCTGAATGTACAAATGAACAATCTTTAAAAATATAGTAAAAACTACAGCATACAACAGACCAAATGCCTTTGATTTTAGATGTGTTTACTAATCATCCTGCATATGAGCTCATCTGAGTCGAAGATCAAGCAGAAAATATTACTTTGACTGAAGTTTATGCTTTAAACAAGATCTCAGTAATTAAATGTCCTCCTCTCTATACTTGTGTCTGCATCTCTCAATCCGAGGAGGCCAGTTTCTCAGCAACCATGTGGCATAATGTTGTGGTATGCAGGCTACACAGGTTCTGTTTTTAGCATGGGTACAATTAAAAAAAAATTGGATACATTGAGAACATTTAGTGGGACTATAGTCCAAATAAATGCCCGGGACAAGCAGTAACTGTAGCTTTTTTACCAAACAGGCATTTTGCACGTAGAAGACCATATCCCCTTTTTAGCTTTGCCATCAGCTTGGTGCCATAGGGTTAAATAATTCATGACTGTAGAGATTTAACAATGCTGAGTCTAACTTTCCATTGCTTAGCAGTTCGCTATCCTCTGAGCTTAAGGTTGAAGGTTCAAGCCCAGGAGCTTGTAAAGATTTTTTTTTTAAAGAGTGTTTCCTTGTAAAATATATAACAACAATCACCCCAATCTGTTGAGCCAGTGAAAGCTTCTATCAGGCGAGAATAGGAAAACATTCTGTTGGCAACAGTATTAGGCTCCATTTTTATCTTATTCATGACACCAAGCGAGAGACGTTTCAACCAGTGCTGCTCTTTCAAAGACACAATTGATTCTCTCCATTGCTACAATTTCAGAGTTACCAACAAAAGATGTGACAAGGGTAATCATGTCCTGGTTCCATTCTGTTTTTTTTAATGAGAGACTAATTAACATTAAGCGCAACTTATTTTAAAAAAAATTGAAAAAAAAACAAAACAAAATAATAAATCTGGTGTTTTTTTCACTACTCTCGGTTTAATACGGAGTTAAATGATTCATGAAGAACAACATTCTTTTTCTTTTTTTTTTTTACATTTACTCATCATCCCAATCTTTTTGGAAGCAGGGTCGTCTGAAAACAGAAGTAAGCACCTCCCAAGTGGGAGAGTTTTTATTGCCAATTTGTAACTGTCAGTGGATGAAAAATAAGCTTAATATACTCTGCTCCGAGTGATTACATTAGGAGGCTTTTCTTTCTTCTGTGTTTGTCAAAAACAAAGTAGTTGGAGAAAGTAGTTTTCTGTTTAAACACAGACTAGAATCTCTATTAAACTGATCTCAACATAGAACTAATCCCCCTTAAATAGTTGCCCGTTGAAGTGTTCTTTCAGGATGTATGAGCTTGATTCAGAATAATTTCATGTGGAGTCATCTAATAAACCTGAAGCCGACAAGGGTTGTCCAGTAAACTTTTGGAATGAGGGCCAAAGCCATTATTTACATGGGTCATGTAGCACGAAAAAAGCTAGACCATGAAGCTATTGTTCCTCCTCCATCTTGGCAGAGAAGGCTAAGTCAAACAGACTGTTAGAAAGGCCAGTACCACGCCTGCCTCATTTGATTATCGCAAGGGTCTTGGTTTTTATTAATTTGCCTCATTACTTATGTGTGCCTGTCGCTTTTTCTTTGCCTCACCCTCTCTCTAACAAAGTTGTTCTTTTACTCCCCTCTCAGCCAAGCTGAGGGAATCCTGTTTCGATCCAGGTGTGGTTCTTAACGGCACCAGGCTGGGATCCGATTACAAGCTGGGCTCAACAGTAACCTTCTACTGTGAAGCAGGATATGTATTACAGGTACAAACGGAGGGATTTTTTTTATTGGATGCTGAGCTGACTGTTTGGTCACTTACAGAGATGTATAAAGTACTGGAGTAGAGGAGTGGAGTAGAAGTACAAGTACTACATAAAAAATGTACTTGAGTAAAAGTAGAAGTATTCTTTCAACACCATACTTAAGTGGAAGTACTGAAGTACTCAATTTTTTTTGTACTTAAGTATTGCAAGTAGAAGTATTTCAAAAATTGCTACTCAAGTATCGAAAGTACAATTATAAGTAAAAGTACAAGTACTGTGTATGTTTAAAAAAAGGAAGTCAAAAGTGTGATAGATATTGTTTATATTATTTCAAACGTGTGAAAGGCCATACAGGTGTTTACAAAAACAGAAAACTACATCTGCATTAGCAACCAACAGCTCTACATCTACTATTTATTATTCCAGAGTCAGAATCCTGAGCTGAGCCTTTATGCTATCAGTTAGCATACAGCTAGCCAGCTAGGTTAGCTTTAGCTAACATTAGCTGCTACGTCCTGAGTGAACAGGGAGAAATGAACTAGCGCTTATTTACTAGCTTAAGTCATTGTATTTTTTAAATTTACCTTGATATGCTTCTTCAGATTAGATGGGGAATTTTTGAAGGCTACAATTAACAATCTTTCCGGATGCTTTTTTTAAAATAGGCTATGCTTCATAGTTCAAATTGCCAATGAGGAGCCAGCTCCCAAAACCCTGACAGAGCTATCTATCATTACGTTTACATTTCAGTAACGAGTAACGATTCAGCCCGTGAAAAATCGATCGGAGTAAAAGTAATGAAATAATCAAAAATATGTAGTGGAGTAAAAGTAAAAGTAGGGGAAAAAATATCTATTCCAATAAAGTTCAGATACTGGATTTTGGTACAGTACTTAAGTAGTTCTACTTCGTTACTGAACATCTCTGGTCACTTAACTGTGGTGGATTGTTGAAGGAATTGGAATAAGTGGACGCAACGTTGGCTGGTTTGGTGATTGGTTGAGTGATTGGCAGACTGGAGCATATTTGGTTCATTTCCTGTGTTAACCATTCACTTGTTCGGTGGATTATTTTGCGAAAAATACATTTTTCTGTGTCTGTTTACTTAGGGCTACTCTACACTAACCTGCAGTATGGGAGATGATGGTAGGCCAGGATGGAACAGGGCACTGCCTAGTTGTCAAGGTAACAGTCAGAGCACACATGAATGTCTCTTGAATAAACTTAAGTAAAATGTCTTGGTATTTCCAAGGTGTGCTTTTGTATATAATCCTAAGATTCAGTGCCTGGTATTGTTTGTCTGTACACCTGTCCACATCTCCAGCTCCCTGTGGCAGTCGATCTACGGGATCAGAAGGGACCGTTTTATCTCCAAACTTCCCCAGAAACTACACCTCAGGACAGAGCTGTGTCTATTCTGTGTCGGTACCCAAAGAATTTGGTAAGTTTTGAACAAGCACAGGTCCCTGTGTCTATTTCACTTCATTACATATATATAATATACAGTATATAGATGTATATATACTGTATATGTAATATATTTCTGTTAGTATATTTGAATATGTTAATGGAAAAATGTAATTCAGCTAAGTATATAAAAGTAAGTATATTCACGGTTTATGCAGCTCATAAGGGGGAGCAAAAAGTGTGACAAAAAACTCTCAATTTCATTTGACATGAGTTTCAGTGTTAACTTTTCCAAGTAACATGAACTGACATGAAATAAAAAGATGTCTGATTTTTAATGAGGGAGCTGCGGATCTCCGGTAGGATCTGTTCCTGTGGGAGGTTTCTGAAAGCATTCTCAGAAAGCAGCAGTGCTGTTATATGTTATGAAGACACACTTGCCGGTCGTTCATTTCAGGTCAGATTTTCATAATTAAAGTGACGTATAGAGATGGGCCTGTTTTAATCTTGCCACCTTTGATCCAGCCAGATTCAAACAGCAGGCTGTACAAAATATAATTATTGAATGGAATTCTTCGTATTAGGTGAACCTGTGCTGTGAGTGTGGTCAGTGGGCGGAAAAGATTAATCAGATGTCTTATCTTTTGAGATAGAGTTATGTTCATACTTATAAACCATTTGAATATCTAGAATACAGTTAATTTTCTTCACCGTAAAGAAAGCAAATATACAGTCATAGTGAATACTGCATGATTAACGCAAAAAGAGTTCAACTTGACCAAATTAATGACACAATAAAAAAAAATATATATAAAATATTAAAAAATATTAACAATATTAATAATAAAAAAAATAGAAAATTATATGTATATATGTTTTTTATTAGTTTTTTTTCTACGTTTGATTAAATGTTTCTATTATAGTTTAACAAAACCTTTTTCTGCTGGTTAAAAGTATTTTTTTTAAAGAACCTGGAAGTAATGTGACATAGTCAGCCGGGTAACATTTAAATGTGACTTGTGTTTTATTTATTTTGGTTGATCCGATTACGCGCCGCGCTGCTTATTAAATGTTTGATGATGATCGCCTTTCACACAAACGCGTCCCGCAGTTGAAAAACACCAGGTAGGGAAAATCCCTTGACATGAATCCCTATGGAGATGCCATCTCTCCAGTTGGATGATGACAACACTGAGGATAACCACTCAGGCGGCTCATTGGGAGGCATAGCAGCTCCACAGGGATTGGTGCCCAGATTTTCTCCATTCGCTGTGAGGTGATCGAGAAGGCTTTTAAATGAAAGCACTGAAACATTTTCAATCATCTGATAACATGTCCAGTGCATTGATTTAAACATTTCGCGGACGGTGAAGGACCCTAGTGAGTGGCTATGTATCCTGGGTGTTTGTTAGTGGACTGTGGAGGCATCAATGAGCCATGTGGCAAAACATGGAGAGGAGCCACGCCGCTGTGATCACTTCTAACTGTGGGCGTTAGAACATAAATACAGTTTGCTGTGCTTTGTTATCTTGCTATAAACAAGGATTTCCCTAGTGACGGTTTTAGGCGTTTAACGGGTTTCCTGTGTGAAGCAGAAATCTGTGTAAAATTTGAATTCCTTTACCTGGAGCCAACGTTTCTGTGATCGACTTTGATCAGTCTGAATTCCTGAAAATCCCCACATGGTGGACTTACTGGCTTTTGATGGGCAACTATATTCACTCTCTACCCCGCAATTTCAAAACATCAATGTAGATACAGTGTCTTGGCTGACCTGTCTACAGAAAATTAGGGTTGTGAAGCAGCCGATTGCCTCTGGCTAGTTTGTCCTCATTCGTCGTGCTTACCTTTTATCTAATTGTCTTAGAAAATAGCTATGAAGTCCCAGCCTAAAAGCTTCCAGCACTGGTTGTTTCAGTGCTCCTTATGAAAAATAAAAGCTTTCTGACCTCACCTTTCTAAGACATAAGGTAAAGACTGATTATAGAAATCTCTATGTGCTATAATCCTTGCTGTTATTATGAATTGTAAAACATGAAACACTTGATTTAGAGCATAGCGGGGCTTTTTTAAAACAATGTAGATGAATAGACAATTTCTATTCAGCTCTGAAAAAATTTTGTTTCTGCTTTGTATTGCTTCTCTAGTAATTTAACACAAAATGAGAATTTACATGAAATAGAGTTGATCTTTTTTTTTTCCGTTTTCCTTTTTTGCTCCTCTTCAGAGGGAAATGGCCTTGTGCAAAGTGACCATTGACCTTCTCACAGTCATATATCCTTGACAATGTTCAGATTTAATCATTTACAAGCCACCCTTGAGGCCAAGTGAGAGGGAGGATGAGCTGGAGATGATAGATGTGTACATGTGTGCAGTAAAAAGGGGGGTGGGGGGTTTAAATAAGTGTAATTTCCTATGGACAACAGTTTTGGCTGTATGGTCTTGACCAAGCAACCACAAACTTGTATCTCAATGCAGAGAATTAGTTTAAAGTTACAGTGATTGTCATACACAGCCGTAATTGTACAGTTCTGAAAAAATGTGGGCCTTAAATCTCCCGTGGGGTTGTCATATATGACCTGAAACTAAAGCTGCACAGAGGAATTCACGGTTTAGCACTCAGTGACTTCCTATAGTGTGCCAGTCCAGGGATTACAACCTTTTCCACTTCAAAAACCCTTTTGAGATGTAACAGATGGACATTCGTAAGAATCCAGCATTTTTATTAAAATGAGTCACACAAATGTTAGATTTTCAGAGTATTCATGATATTATTATTATTTTTATACCATCACCTGTTTGGTTAGATCAAGTTAATTTTCAAATGAAATGCTCTGATGTAAATGCAGTTAAAAAGAAACATTAAAATACCATCAAAATCGGCATATGTGACCAATTGTAAGTGAGTTTTGGCCACTATTAGCATTTCGCACTTGCTGACAACACTCATACTTTGTCACCAATTGATGGATAAGCAAAATTTGAGAGTGTTTGACAAGGACATGATGAAGATAAGGGGATGCTATGACTATTAGCCGGGCTGATATGTAATTTTGCAGCAAGAGAATGGCTTCAAATACAAGTTGACACCGCTGCTTAATAGCATTTAAATTAGCTATTACAGGTTAATTTTATCTTTGGAAGGTCAGGCTCACACTGCAGCCCGGAATAACAATTTGCAAAAAATTCAATAGTGGATCATTTAATTCTACGTGTGCCTTTTTTTTTTCCTTTTTGTCGTCTCCAGTTCTTTTCGGTCAGTTTGTGATGTTTCAGACATCTCTGAATGACGTTGTCGAAATCTATGATGGACCCACCCAACAGAATACATTGCTCTCTTCTCTGTCTGGTTCCCACTCTGGTAAGAATGGACCGTCTGATTTATGCATAAGCAAAAACAATACACAGATACGCAAACTAAGATGGGACTGACTCATTACACTTTCCTTTTCAGGTGAATCTCTCCCTCTGAGTTCAGGAAATCAGATCACGATAAAGTTCACAACCGTCGGGCCCGAAACTGCCAAAGGATTTCATTTTGTCTACCAAGGTAAAACTCAATTTTGTAAAAAAAAAAAATGTTGTACCTTTTATTTTTTCAAAAATCCATAATCCGAATCACTGAAAACTTTTGAGTTTGCAATACTTGTTTTGTATGCTTTACCTCACCTTCAATTCAATTTTTGGGTATTTTTGTATGATAAAACCGCATAAATCTTTCCACTCTCTGTGATTGACTGAATTTTGTAAAAGGTTTTTGCTTCGTCCACACTCTCTCACGGCCATTTCTGTTACATTTTACTTGACCTGACCACTTTTTTAACGTTCTGGTACTTCCCTCCTGGCCTCAGCTGTACCCCGGACCAGCTCCACCCAGTGCAGCTCAGTTCCAGAGCCGCGTTTTGGGAAACGTCTCGGTAACGACTTCGCGGTTGGCTCCATGGTCCAGTTTGAGTGCAACCCTGGATACGTGCTCCACGGCTCTACCGCTATCCGTTGCGAGAGTGTTCCAGATAACCTGGCACAGTGGAATGACACCTTGCCGACATGCATAGGTAAAGATTAATCTGAAGTTAAAACAGAAAACGATGTAGCAATGTAGAAAATGAACATTCGCAAAATCGAAAAGCGGCTTTCCTAAAAGAGCTGTTACCCATGTCAACCATTGGAATAACTGCTGTTCGTCTTGACCTCGTTTTTTCTCCTTCTTCCTCTCCTTTACACTGTGTGCTTACACCTGCCTGACTCCCAGTTCCCTGTGGAGGTGCGTTGACCTCTCGCCGTGGGACCATTTTGTCTCCAGGCTACCCAGAGCCATACGACAACAACCAGAACTGTGTGTGGAAGGTCTCTGTTCCGGAAGGGGCTGGAATACAGGTTAGAACTGCCCCACACGCTGCTTTCCTGGTTGACCTACGTATCATTGACTTAAAAAAAGCTGAGCAGGCAGGATCTCGGCGAAGATAAGATATTATTAGTAGAATGAATGGATGGATGGTTTCTGAGGGACGGGGCCATCAGAGATAACTGGATAGGATCTAATCATGAAAGATCAGGCCTGATTGTGCGTAAGCTAAACTGCTCTCTCGGACAAATACAAAGGCAAAAGATGTCCCTTACACAAAGTGCGGACAGTTCACAACATTCAGTTTTTCCCTCTAAAATGATCATTCAGTTTGTTTTTAGTTGTAGTTTCCACATGCATACTAGGGGTGGGACGGTTCACAAAATCCACGGTTCGGTTCGTTTCACGGTTTCGTGGTCACGGTTTTCGGTTCGGTTCGGTATATGGTGATTGTTAGGAAAATCTATTATGTCTTGTATAGTCAGGTTAAAACTAGGGATGGGGATCGTTAATATTTATTGATATCGATACTTTTATCGATACTCCTTATCGATCCGAGTCTTTATCGATACCACTATTGATCATTTTCTGTTATTTGGTGGAAAAACGATGCGACAATATTTAACAAATAAATAATTGTATTTTAAATTAAATGTAATTTTTAATAAATGTTGGCATCAGTAGTTTAATTATATATTCTAAAATAATTAGAGCAATATACAACTGTATTACTCATGTTTCTCGCCAAAAACTTAATTTCCCTTTTCTTTACGTTACACTTGAACGCATCATGATAACCTAATTGTCGTTTTACTGAGCCAATTTGAACACATCATCACGCAGCACGTCTGAAACTTTATTTACTTTTCAAGCTAACTAGCTTGTATGCTGCCGATTACAACACAGATTTCACAATTACTATTGTAATAATAAAAAAACGACCAGACTCGATAGTGGTATCGATAAGCCCAAACGTTATTGATTTTTGGGTTTTGAAAAAAGTGGAACCGGGTCCTTGATAGAACCGGGTTTCGATCCCCATCCCTAGTTAAAACTGCAAGAAAAAAGCAGTCTGACATTTGATACATTATTGTGACAGTCTTAGGTTAAAAGTAGGTGAGATTCTGACATTGCAAGCGAGGAAACAGTGCTAATTCCAACATGTGCTTCCCTCTAAATGCAAAGTGGTCCATACAGCAGACCTAGAAACTGCTGCTGGCGCGTCTGATTTTTATCGGCTACGCTGCTTCTCTTCTTCTTCTTCTTGTTTCCTACTGGTGGATGGCTTTGGGCACAGTAGCGCCCCCTTCTGCTCTGGAGTGTAAACGCTTCCCTCTGAGAAAAAGGAGCAGTGCATGAACCGTGCGGTACACACGCGAACCGAACCGAGACAGTCGAACCGAACGGTTCAGACGGTTTTCAGAAACCGTCCCATCCCTAATGCATACACACAGAACTCACAGAAAACACTTTATACTAAAATACATTTATTAAAAATAGCCAGTGGAGCTTCTGGAAATCACAAATCTTTGATGATGTACATTGGTACCTGAGAAATTTCGTGGCATTTTTTTTTTTTTTTTTTTTTTTTTTTTTTATGTGATAAATGGGGTTAATTTGGTTAGTTTTCACCTCCCTATAATTTCTCTTTAGGGAAAAATGGATCTGGGATTTTATGGGGTTGCATTTGTAGAATAAAATGTCTCGCCCAGTGCCACAAATGTGATCAGATGATTAACATCTACATGTCAGAGACAGTTAAGTAGGAGCTAACAAGAACATTTGCACTTTCCTTTCTCTTTCCTGTCTGTCTCACCAGATACAAGTAGTGAGTTTTGCCACTGAGCATAACTGGGACTCGTTGGATTTCTACGACGGCGCTGACAGCCATGCACCAAGATTGGGAAGCTACTCCGGTACTCTTTTTTACTTTTTTACTTCTAATTCTTTATCGTGGTAAAGACACATTGGCCACTCTAAGCAGTTAACATCAATGTTAATTTCAGTGAGATATTTGTGAATATGCTATCTTCTACACAGATTTATTTAATTTCTTTTTATCCTAAGTGAACCTGATTGTGTGACATCACTGAGCAGGAATTAAAAAAGAAAGAAAGAAATTGAACAAAAAATGGAAATGGCAATGGCTAGATTTGAGTATATCCTTTGACTCTTCTAGGCAGAAACCCTTTATAAGTTTTTCATTCATGATTAAAAGCACAGAGGAAATAAGAAAGGAGAAACATCACATGTTGTCATAGTGTTTGGAGGCATTAGAGGTAATGGTTTTGTTTCCGATAAGAGTGGAATTAAAGCCAAACTGGCAACACTGAATCCCCCAGCAGGAGTTTGGAAGAAATTTGTCACTTAACTCATTTATGCAATTACAGGCTCATTTTCCACTACAAATAGATATTGAAGCAAGCCTTGAGATGTCAGTGTAATACAAACTTTAGAGTTTTTTTTTTGTGTAGAAGTGTTTTTGTTTGCTTCAAACGTTGTAAGAGTATATTGAAGTTTATCTCTGAATATGAATATCATAGACAAGAAACAAGATCAAATAAGATATACAAAACCCAACTCCAAGAGCGATTTCATCCCCTTGAACACAAGCTTTTCTTGTTTCGCGATATAATTTCTGTCTCAGGACAAAGTGCTATCACGGTATATACTGTATCTCGTGGAGGGCTGAAAGATTTCATCTTTAAAGAGTACGAGGTGTACCGGCTGTGACCATTTTGTCAGGATGTAGTTCTTCAAGCCTTGCAAATTCTCTCCCATTTTATTTTACTACATATTTTAGAATAGAATCAAATTGATTTTTTTTTACTTAAAAAAAGAAAAAAAGAAACAATAATACATATCTCCTTATATCCTTGCTTGAAGGGGAAAAAAAAGGATACTTTACAAACATCCAAAAAGAAGGACTTGTGCATTAATGTTCCATTAGCATATTTAGCTCCTGGGAGTGTAACAATGCGTTTTAGGGAAGCAAATTTGTCTCACTATCTCACAGCTGCAATAAATAATCCATAAGAAATCTGACATCTAGTGACAAACTGGATATGAGAGGTTGTGATGAGCACCAAAATGACAAGAGCAAGATTTCTGCTTTCATATGACAGTGTCATTAAAAAAAAACGAACTCATGCAGCGCAATGATAAAACTGGTATTGATGTTAATTACAGGGCTTAATGAATACTGCTATACATCCCACAATAGCAGATATAGTTAAATCAATTACGTTAATTATTCACTATCATTCATTAATCATTTTTCTTTTTTTTTCTGCCATGCAAATAAATTAGGTGTCTTCTAGGATGTAAAACCGAGCAGTGGGGGTACTGCAGGCTTTTGGAAATGATGCTTGTTTATTATATTCCCATCACAACAGGCAGCCAATGACATTAAGTGACCTAATTCAATGTTCGTTGAGAGGAATGTCTCAAGGTTGACAAGTTTTGATGGCACACGTTTATCAAAGTCAATATGAAGAGCCGACAGAAAATGTTTTTATCCCAGAAGGACATTTTTTACTCCTACGAGATGATAGAAAACTAATATCCCTTTTAATCAAAGAACTTAATCTAATATGTCATTGTGCAGAGCTGGTTATGCTTCAGTAGTGCATATCCACTTTTTTTTCTTTTTTTTTTTTTTACTTTGAACTTCCACTTACCACACTAAGTAGGTCAGGCCAACATGTGATTTCAAATAAAGTAGATGCCTCAAAAGTAAAACTAATTCCCCATTCCCCCTTTTCAGAACTCTTCACTGAGAAAAAAAAGTAGGTTTGGGGGGCCTTTGTTGTTTCCATTGCTACTGATAAATAAGATCGTTCGCTTTTAAGCCTTAGTCAGAAAAGAAATGCTCATCCTCTGTTCCTGCTTTTTTTCTTTCTCTCCACTCTCAGGCACCACTATCCCCCCTCTCCTGAATAGTACATCCAACAACCTGTATCTCAGCTTCAGCTCTGATATCAGTGTCTCAGCTGCTGGATTTCATCTGGAATATACAGGTACATCTTTTTAAAGGCCTATCTGCAGTTTAAGCAATGTGTGCAAAACCATGACTGAAACTTTTTTTAAATTTGTCGTGTCTCTCATCAGCTATCGGTCTGGAGTCGTGTCCTGAGCCTCAAACTCCAAACTATGGGATCAGACAAGGAGACAGGTTCATGGTCGGGGATGTTGTGCAGTTTTCATGCGAACAAGGATACTCTCTTCAGGTAAAAAAATACTACCTGTTGGGTTTTTTTTTCTGTAGATTCTGACAGAGTGGATGTTATCAGAGGATAGGTTTTCCATAACTAGCATGTCACGCGTTCCCAAAAAGGCTCCTTCAAGCTGACATCATTAAACTTGCTCAGCTTCTCCGATGTGCTGCCATTCATCCCCTTGTTTCCTCCAGGTTGCACAAAGCGAGAATCTCTTAAAGTGAATCAAAGGGAAAACCCAACTCTCTGGTGGTTTACCCCTCTCCTGCAAAACACACAAGCGTGGTGTAGTTTGCCGCACTCTTGAATAATGAATGTTTTTTTGTTTTTTTTACTGTGGTCTGCCCAATTTCTGTTCAGTACACTGTGGAGCCTTTGTGAAGGTTCGCTTGCCTCTTACCTAATATAGACACTCGTAGTTAATAAATGCAGTGCAACTGGGATGCGTGATTGGTAAGCAAATAAAACAGAAGGCCTAAACCGGAGCATAATGTGCTAATTTTTTTAGTTATATATGTTAATAAATGGGTTTCCCTTACACTTCTAGGGTCATGCTCACATCACCTGTATGCCAGGACCTGTCCGTAGATGGAACTACCCTGTACCACTTTGTCTGGGTAAGTATCTATCTATCTATCTATCTATCTATCTATCTATCTATCTATCTATCTATCTATCTATCTATCTAT